CTCTCGTCCTCCTCCTTTCCTCCTCTTCCTCTCCTCCTTTCCTCTCCCTTTCCTCCTCCTCCTCCTCCTCCTTAGCCGCCTGTGGCTGCTCCCGAAGCGCACGTGCGCTCCCAAACTTTCCCTGGGCGCCGCCCTCTTTTCCCTCAGCCGCGCTTTTCCACGCCTCTCCCGCGCCTCCCCTTCCCGCCCTTTTCCACGCTTCCTCCCTTGCTCGCGGGGTTCAATCTGCGGGGCGCGAGGAAAAGGCGCCGAAGGGAGAGAAAAAGGAGCCCCCCCCCGCGCGCGCCCGAAGGGGCCGCGCCTTCTTGAAACAGCTGCGGTCAATTTGGGCTCGCGCACGCGCTCTCTGCTCCTGGCTCACCACCACCACCACCCCTCCCCGGCTCTGAAGGCCATCCAGACGTTCCTTTCCTTCCTCCACAAGCCTCTTTTGAGAAGCCCTTCCTGGAGTCTCGTCACACTTAAACGATAGTTCGTTTAGGGACCGTTTCAACGTTACAGCAGCCCTGAAACAAGGGACTCGCCGCCTCACTTCTGGCTGCAGCATGGGGGGGGGGGGCTCTCACGATGTTGTTTAGAGGCTTGGCAGCTGACTCCTATTTATGATGGTTGCTGTGTCCCGGGGTCACATGACAACCCCCCCCACCCCCCCCTTATGACCTTCTGATTCACTTAAACGATGGTGGCAAGAAAGATCATATAATGGGAATGGGTCAAAACTCGCTTAACAACTGTCTCTGCAACTGAAATGTTGGGCTTGGTTATGGACGTAAGTCAAGGAATAGAACAGAGTAGAATAACAGAGTTGGAAGGGACCTTGGAGGTCTTCTAGTCCAACCCCCTGCCTAGGCAGGACACCCCACAGGACTAACTGTGTGGCATTCCAGGAGGGGAAGAACAGCCATGGCGAATAGGCAGCAACACAAATCTAATAAATAAACAAACAAACAAACAAACAAACACACACACACACACACACACACACACACACACTACACAGGTCTCCAGTGCAGAATCTCCCAAGTGTACCTACAAACAACTTCCCAATTTGAAATACTTCAGTTAGGTCAACCCAATTGCCCCCTACTAAAGCATTTCCACACCACAATATTTATTTATATTTCATACTTCTTCACCTTGCCATCTCCCTCCGAGAGGGGCTCTGGCCAGCGTACAATATAATCAATGAAATTGACGTTAAAATCAGCAATAATTTAGAATAGATTAGATTAGATTAGAATGCAGAATACAATAGAATAGAATAGAATAACAGAGTTGGAAGGGACCTTGGAGGTCTTCTAGTCCAACCCCCTGCTTAGGCAGGAAACCCTATACCACTTCAGACAAATGGTTATCCAACATCTTTAAAAAAAAAAAAAAAACTTCCAGTGTTGAAGCATCCACAACTTCTGGAGGCAAGTTGTTGCACTGGTTAATTGTTCTGCCAGGAAATTCCTCCTTAGTTCTAAGTTGCTTCCCTCCTTGGTTAGTTTCCATCCGTTGCTTCTTGCACTGCCCTTAAGTGCTTTGGGGAAATACCTTGACCCCCCTCTTCTTTGTGGCAGCCCCTGAGATATTGGAACCCTACTATCATGTCTCCCCTAGCCCATACTCAGTTCCTGCAACCGTTCTTCATATGTTTTAGCCTCCAGTCCCCTAATCATCATTTAAGCTTAAAAAGTTTCAAATTTGGAAAAACAAAATAAAATTGTAACATTGCCCTTGTGATTCTCAATATTGAAGATGGGGTTAAAATGCTTGCCTGTTGGTTTTGGGATGAAAATGAGGTTTAAATTACAATAGCAATAGCACTCAGACTTATATACCACTTTGCAGTGCTTTTTACAGCCCTCTCTAAGTGGTTTACAGACGCTCTTGATGGCCAAAAGTGTGAGGAATGGTCGTAAGTGTGAGGACCACTGGCAAGCTACTTTTTTCCCCCAGTGCTGCTGTAACTTAGAATGGTGGCTAAACAAACACTTGTAATTCAAAGACTAATTGTATGCTTCTTTATTAAAAAAAAAAAAAGGCAGGGTCTAGCAATCTTAAGATAGTTTCGTAGATTTGTGCTTGTTGGTAGCCATTAAGATGGCAATTTATGAGTTTAATAAGGCTCTTCTTTGCGTAATCTCTTTTCTGACAGAGTGAACCTTTGAATCCTGGGGACAGAGGTTGTTTGCCCATGCTTGGGGATTGATTCTTGTCTGCTTGGAGATCTGCAGCAAACTTTAAAATTCCAGACATGTAAATAGCCTTGGGTGTGTTCTCAGTGGATATAGATCATTTTACCTGCGTATTTATGGTACTGATAAATCATAAGCGCGGCTGAGTCTGCTGTATAACCAAACAATCCAAGGGTTGAAGGGGTTCTTGCTCAAACTGGTATTTCAACAGTGACCAAAATAGTTCATAGGGTCATCCCCCCGCCTTAATTTCTTAAGAGCCACAGTGGCACAGTGGTCAGAGTGCAGTATTGCAAGCTACTTCTGCTGACTGCCAGCTGTCTGCAATTTGGCAGTTCAAATCTCATCAGGCTCAAGGTTGACTCGGCCTTCCATCCTTCCAAGGTGGGTAAAACGAGGACCCAGATTGTTGGGGGCAATTATGCTGACTCTGCAAACTGCTTAAGGCTGTGAAGCACTGTGAAGCTGTATATAAGTCTAAGTGCTATTGGTATTGGTAGTTTCATCTATGGCGGGGTGGACAATTAACTTTTTCCAAGCCACCACATGAGAAACTGGGACTGTTGTGAAGGGCCAAATCAAGAGGACTGTGAAGGCAAAGGCGTAATTTGGGGAAAAAAATAGCAGTCGTCTTCAAAATAAAAGCAATGCAGTTGTACTGTATGCATGCTGTACACTTATTTATATTTGATTTCTAATTTTTGATGGACCTCAAGTGGGTCGGACAGAGACAACCAATGGTCCAGATGCCCAAATCTGGACTATTTTTCAGTATGAGAAGAGCAGTGGTGCTTACTCAGCAGCCATTGGCTTTCTCATCCTCTTTACTCCTGCACTTCCCATATTTAGATATCCCAGGGCTATGAATAACACCTCTGTGTCCTGGCATATAGAATAATAGAGTTGGAAGGGACCTTGGAGGTCTTCTAGTCCAACCCCCTGCTTAGGCAGGAAACCCTACACCACTTCAGAAAAATGGTTATCCAACATCTTTTTAAAAATTTCCAGTGTTGGAGCATTCACAACTTCTGGAGGCAAGTTGTCCCACTGATTAATTGTTCTAATTGTCAAGAAATTTCTCCTTAATTCCAGGCTGCTTTTTTACTTCATAGGTTTCTATCCATTGTTTCTTGTCCTACCTTCAGGTGCTTTGGAGAATAGCTTGACTCCCTCTTCTTTAGGGACAGCCCCTGAGATATTGGAAGACTGCTCTCATGTCTTCCCTGGTCCTTCATTTCATTAAACTAGACATACCCAATTCCACCAGCTATATGTTTTTATATGGAAGAACATCTTTGTTGGAGCTTTGGGACATATCATTTTGATTCAAAATCACACCAGGAGTTGTAAAGGAAGGCAAATTGGTTGAATCAGCCTTTGGAAATGAATTTTCAAGTCATCATCCTCATCCTCATCTCCTGTGCAGAGAATTTTCAAATGGAACTACTGTATGTTTTGAATGGCGACGCCCTTGAATCCAAATGAAAATGTCTGAATTGTTGAATCAGAGTGATTCCACAATCTGAAACAATAGTCAATGTCAACCTTGTTTTGGCTCAGCAAATAGGGGAATTGAATCTTCTGTGATTCCCATGGAACAGAATTTTATGTACTCTAATTTTCTCTTCGTGATGCTTTCTTTCCCAAACTCACAATGGTTTTGTACTTATGGGTTGCTTTCTGTCCATTACTAAGGTCAATGGCGACATTTTGCTTAAAGAAATGATGGAAACTTGATCAAAGTAAACAACAATAAATAATTAGTAGGCTTGGTTATAACAGATTTTATAGACTGGACACACAGAAACTGAATCATATTGGTCAGCTAACAGCAACTGTATGTAAAGTCTGAACGACCCAGAAATTTAATTAATAGGTGGGCGTAATAAAACATAGCCATACCTTTTTATAAATTGGGTAGTGCAACATTACAATGGATTGTATTTTCAGCACTTCTGTAAGCCACAAGGACAGAATCTCGAAGAATAAGATGTTTTTCTGAGTTTTTCTTCAAGGGCAGCTGTTGAAAGTGAAATATTAGTCCTCAATTTAGGGATGGTTATTTGGTTTAAATACCTTGCTGGCCTAAAAAAAAAGCAGATCGGCTGTTTTTATATATATATATATATATGGACTGAGATGACAAATCCCACTGCTGTTCTACATCCATAATGCATTGTTTAAGGCTTGACACCACCTGTTCATAGACAAGTCAGACATTGTGTGCAGAGCCATAACTCTGCAGCCTTTGATAAATTGGTTCTTCTCCAAGTTGATTCAAAGTTAGCAGCCAGGATTAAGGGACTGAGGTCTATAGGAAAATAAAACATCCTGGCAATTTCAACTAGAATGAAAAACACCCACCCACCCAGCTGTACAGTAGGCTGGTCTCCACTCTAATCATACCATCTTCAGAGTGAAGCTTTATACATTAGGCATACTTCACGCTACTTGAAAAATAACCCTTGGCCCAGAGGTGGGATTCAAATTTCTTAACAACCGGTTCTGTGGGCATGGCCTAATTTGTGGGTGTGGCTTGGTGGTCATGTGACTGGCTGGGCATGGCTTGTATGTAAATATTGTAAATATATATGTAAAGATTGAATTTTTTATTTTTTTAAAAAGAGCAACTTTTACCCCAAATCAGGCAAAGCAAAGCAGGCAGGCAGATTGAGCTGCTTGCAGAATCACAGCTTCACTCCCAGATCTACCTTTCTGCAATCCGCTGCCTGAGTCTGCACTGAAAAATAGAAGCTTCAATCCTAAGGAAGGTTCAGCTCTGCTTTCAGGCCACTTCTCCCTCCCCCAACCCCCTGAATACCACCCCTGACTGGGCCTCAGGGAAGCCTCCTGGGTGGGGTGGGTGGAGAGGGGAGGGGCCAGCCAGTGGTGCGATTTGCCAGTTCTCCGAACTGCACAGAATTGTAACAACCGGTTCTATAGAACTGGTCCGAACCGGTAGAATCCCACCCCTGCCTTGGACATTTAGATACTGTAGTAATCTGTCTAAGGGGGAATAGTGTTATATGGGCCTAAATATTTTGCGTACAGGTACTCCTCAACTTACAAGCACAATTGAGCTCAAAATTGATGTTGCTTAGCGAAACAAGTGAGTTTTACCCTGTTTAACAACCTGTCTTGCCACAGCTGTTAAGTGAATCAGTGAGTCAGTTGCCAAGCGTCTGAATTTTGATCGCGTGACTACGGGGATGCTACAATCATCATAAGTGTGAGAAATGGTCACAAGTCACTTTCTTCTGTGACGTTGTGGCTTAGGACGATCACTAAAAGGATCTATTTTTGTAAGCCAGCCAGAATGGTGGAGAACGAATGGGTGGCCATCTACATTTAAATAAACACATTTGTTTTAAGAAACAAATAAAAGTAAATATGGATAAAATGAATGTTAAAACTTTTGCTGCTCATGTGTTGAGAGGTGTGGACATCCATATTTCTCCGCTAGAGTAATAGCAAAATGTTTGCAGAACTCTACGTTGGTTTTTAAAAGCTTAGAGATTCAAGCGGATGGATGATCAGAAGATTAATTCTGGAGCAGAATTCACAAATAAAGACATTGAGATCCCTTCCAAAAGAATTTCCTCCTTGTAATTCTGGACATCGTGAGAATTGGGCACTTTTTTGTTGTTGTTGTTCTAACGTGGAATTGATTGTAAGAAAAAGGATAGTAGAGATGCCTTAAAAGGAAGGAGTAAAATCAGAAGAATAAAGCCTGGGATTTTTTTTCTTCCCTTTCTTTTTCAGCTCATGTATTTACCATGAAACTATTTCTCTATAGTCAGTGATCTCTTTTTCAGATAAAGTTACTGAAGAAGGATGGATTAAAGCCGATGAAATACTACAGTATCAGCCTGCAATCATTTTGAGACCCGCTGAACTACAATTTGTAAAGTTAGGGGATGCATCGGCAAGTTGTCACGGAGAGTCGATTGCATGTTGGAAAACATGAAATATCATCCAAACACAACTTGCCTGATTCTTGTTCTCTTGTTTTTATCGGGAAGTTGGAGAAATGGAGCTTTCCGAGACAAATGGAAACTTCATAAGGCCCTTAAAAAATAGAGCTCTGAACTGAATATATGATTAACCTGGCTGTTAAAAGGACTCTAACTAATAGGAACCTTATCAACATTATTCTTGCAAATGTAAAATATATCACTGTGGATTTTTTAAAATATAAAACGTTGGACTAACTTCCTAAGCTACTTATTTAAGTTCATGATAAATTTTATGGGAGATTTCAAAGATATACTGTATTTTCCCTTAAACTTTCAACCACTGTGGTATGAGGTCCTTGTTACTCCCTGAGCTTGGTTGTTTTCTTGCAGACGTTTCAATATGTGCGTCATTTTAAGCGTAATTTTCAAGAACAACCTCACCCTGTGCCTGAAGGGAAATATTTTTGATCGGTGTGTCTTACCTGCTCCAACATATGCCGGTGAAACATGGACACTCGCCTCATAGTCATTCAGTTTTGGTTACCACGATGTAAAAAAGATGGTGAGACTCTAGAAAGAGTGCAGAGAACAACAGCAAAGATTATTAGGGGACTGGAGGCTAAAGCATATGAAGAACGGTTGCAGGAACTGGATATACTATATTTAGCTTAATGAAAAGAGGACTAAGGGAGACATGATAGCAGTGTTCCGATATCTCAGGGGCTGCCCCAAAGAAGAGGGGGTCAATTCAGGGGTGGGATTCTGCCGGTTCGCACCTATTCGCTAGAACTGGTTGTTAACATTCTAAGCAGCTCGGAGAACCGGTTGTTAGAAGAAATTTCTGGCCTAATCCTGTAAGGAAGGCAGGAAGGAAACATTCTGGTGTTGCTTACAGAAACTGCCTCTCTGTTAACCCTTATTACATTCTTGGCAGGCCTAGACTTCCTGTCTCAGTAATGTCTCTGGAGTTTTTTTCCCTTCCTTTGCTGGTACTTTGCTTGTGTGAAGTGACCATTCAAAGTTACAATGGCACTGAAAAAAGTGACTTATGACTGTTTTTCACACTTACGACTGTTGCAGCATCCCCACAGTCATGAGAGGCCAGGCGAGGAGATGGGTGCCATGATGTGAGTGATGTTGAGTTGGCCACGCCCAGCCAGTCACATGACCACCAAACCATGCCCACCAACTTAGCCACGCCCACAGAACTGGTTGTTAAAAAATTTGAATCCCACCCCTGGGTCAATTTATTCTTCAAAGGACCTGAGAGCAGGACAAGAAGCCATGGGTGGAAACTAATCAAGGAGAGAAGCAACCTAGAACTAAGGAGGAATTTCCTTACAGTGAGAACAATGAATCAGTGGAACAATTTGCCTCCAGAAGTTGTGAATGCTCCAACACTAGAAGTTTTTAAAAAAGATGTTGGATAACCATTTGTCTGAAGTGGTGTAGGGTTTCCTGTCTAAGTAGGGGGTTGGATTAGAAGACCTCCAAGGTCCCTTCCAACTCTTGTTATTCTATTCTATTCTATTCTATTCTATTCTATTCTATTCTATTCTATTCTATTCTATTCTATTCTATTCTATTCTATTCTATTCTATTCTATTCCATTCCATTCCACTCCACTCCACTCCACTCCACTCCACTCCACTCCACTCCACTCCACTCCACTCCATTGCTCTCCTGTCTCCCCTCGTCCTTCTCTTCCCTAGTAGCCAAGCCCAGTTCCTGCAACTGTTCATAGTATGTTTTAGCCTTCAATCCCCTAATCATCTTGGTTGCTGTTCTCTACACTCAAAGAGTCCCAACATCTTTTTTGTAGTATGGCGACCAAAACTGGATGGAGTATTCTAGGTGTGGTCTTCCTAAGGCTTTATAGAGTGGTATTAGTACCTTATTAAATAATTTAAGGTAGTTCTCTACCTTAAATTTATTGTATGGCCTTAGATAAATGAACTGTACACTTCATGTGTTTGTATTGGCTTATGTTGCACAAGGCTTATTGCAGTAATGCCAGCATAGACTTAGGGAAGTATTACACAGAAATGCACAGTCCCTGCGAATAGTTTCCTGTAAAATGAGCCTGAGAAGTGCAATCTTATTTCTCTTCCATTTCAGTCTGTTTGGGACCCACCCAAAATAAACAGAAAAATAAAACCTTGCTAGGGTAAAAGGACACCCAAAATTCTGCTGTCTGTTTAATTAACATCTTAGTTTTGAAATGACAAAATTTCAAATCAACCTAGTGATGGAACTTGACAAAACGGTAATGCAAGGTGAACCCAGGCTGCTGATGATAGCAATTTATTATTTCAAACATTCATTTCGGTTTTCAGCAATCTGCTTGACAGAGCTAAAAATGGGGAGTTGCCTCCAAATCTCAAAATGCATGGTGACTACATAATCTCTTCTGCTCTTCATCCTTATAGGTGTCTTACATTGGCCAGGACTGCAAAGCAATTCCAGAATTCCTTGGGACAAAATACGGACCCATCGCAAAAAGGTTGGACCTCAGTTTCAATTTATTAAGGTAGGACATACATGTAAATGGTTAGGCTACATCTTAACAGGGCAAACTTCCTTGTTCGGGTATTTTCCCACGTCATTATAGTTGTGCTTTTAAAGTTGTAGGAACGTTTCGGCAGAATGTCATCTGCCATCATTAGGCTTCTGTATTGTGTTTGTCTGTGGGTCAGAATTTCACAGCCATTTCTGTTTTAAATTTGGTGCTAGCCTACGCTATGCCAGAATGATTTTTTCTTCATCCTGATTGGTTGGGAGTCTTGATCTGTGTTTGTTGGTCTTGGAGTTTGCTGTGTTCTGCTTGATTGGTGTTTCTAATATCTTCTGTCTGTTTTGTAGCTTTTTTTGTCTTGATTGGCTGGCAACATTGTGTTCCTGTATTGGAGGCTTTTAGTGCGACTTGTCTCCGAGTAAATGGACGGCTATCATTTATTAGGAAGTTTCATCTGGGTGCCTGGTTGGGGTGTGTTTGAGCTGGAGGTATCAGGGGGGATCTGTTTGTGCCCAGGTGTTTGCCTGGCTTGTGGTGTGGAGATTTTTTTGTTTGAGAGTACAGGCTTCCAGATAATTGACAGTCTTCCATCAGATTGACAGTTTACATATGGGAGAGTATTAGTCAATGGATTGCTTGACCCAGTGGTTATAGCTCAGCTTAAGTTGCATACATTTTTAAGAACTTGTTTGTTACTGGGTTTTTCTAAAAGAACAGAATGAGAATTGACAAATAAATAAATAATAATAATAATAGAATGGATTCCAGGAGTGCAGGGAAAAAAAACTGATTTAAAAGATTCAGAAAAAGACCTGTTTCTTTAAAAAGCACAATTTCCTTCTTTTCGGAATGAAGAGTTTTTTGAATATGAATTACACCCCAGCTATGGAAATAATACCTTTTTTGTATTTGGGTTCTGAGCAGAATTTGTCACCCTGTTTCACCCTGGTCAGCCTTGTAGAATTTGACTTCTCTGCTTAAACCAAGATCTTCAAACCCTTTAGAAATACTTGAGAAATACCTCAGATTGCATCCCACCTTCAGATTATGCCAAGAAGGAAACCAGAAGCTCCCACACATGTCCCAGAGCCTCCAAAGTCGAAACTGAGGCTGGGGATTGGGTGATCTGCTTTCCCCCACATCTTCTCTTGCAAAACTGAGCTGGATAACAGCAGTTCTTTATATGGTGACCTCGCTACCTTTAATTGCTACTGGAAGAGTTGGCTTTTCCTTTCCAGAATTGGAATTTACAGCTTAAAAGTTCTACCGGCTAGCTTAGCATTTGGTTGATATTGGTATGATGATGTGATTGCCAGCTTGGGAACTGACCTGCCACCACAGAACTATGGCCATGTAGATGCTGTGGGAAGGAGGTTCCCTCATGGCTTCTCAAGAACTTTTTATTTTGGGGCTACCCCTGGGATGTGTTGATCTTCTAGAAGACCTGTGTTTGGTCTTCCATCAGATTGATATCCCCATGTTTAAACTTCCCAAACACTAAGGAGATTTCTCTACAATCACAGTCAACATGGCCATGGACCATCTGGATGAGAGTGGATGGTATTGTTGAATCCAGCAGATTGCTGGTCTTTAAAGGTTCCTTGGACTTTCACTCCAAGTATCCTAGAATGTCTACCTGAGTCTTGTGTTGTGTAATAAAGGGAAAATCCACTGGCATGCCCAAATGTTTTGGAATGATAGACTGGTGATGACTAGGCAATTGAATGAGGACAGATCCTCTGCAAATTGTTGGAAATATAGAAACACTAATGGTACAAAATGACCTAGTGGTTCTTCTTTGAGCTTGCTTTTTGTTTTCTTTTCGAATTTTTTTTACTTATTCATTTGTTTACTGATGCATTTATTTTTAATTATTCTTTTTATGATTCATTTGTTTTTTTTTAAATGGTCAGAAGATGGACATGTGTTTATCCCAATCATGTTTAAACTCAGTTACTGATGATTGACCCACTACTTCCACAAGCTTCCGTTACTCTTTTTGTGAAGTCATCCTTTCTAACATGGTTTTTGAACTTCCCTCCTGTCAGTTTGAGGTTACGTTTCCAAGTTCTTGATTTTTGCTTGATGTGTGTGTGTGTGTGTGTGTGTGTGTGTGTGTGTCTCCATGCTACAGCAGTTGGAGTATATGGTTGAGCTCTTAAAAACTCATACATTTTTTTGGGGGGGGGGGTTTCTGGACTGTTTTCCTTAGCAAATGATTTACAAACAAAGCTTTGGTCAAATTATTTGCAAATGAGAATGAGATTCTAGTTCGGTCTGAGCTTCAGCAGGAAATAACGATATCTTGATGTGCATGAAGATAGGAAGCAAGGCTTATAATTGCCTGTTTGTGTGCTGGTAAGCGGTGTGTGTTTTATGGAAAGGAATTACTCAATTATACAACGTGCAATTGTTTCTGTGGATTACTTAGATTAGTTTGTATAGCATTCGTTGGCCATGTACTCCTTAGTCATAGTTCTGTGAGATAGGGTGGCCTCTGATTTTTATTGCAAATTAAAACAACTTCCATGTTTTATTGGCCTATCTGAACCATGATGAATGTACCAAATGTCTTTTGTTATTACCTTTCTTCTTTTTCTTTTTTCTTTTTTCTTTTTTGGATAATTCAACTTATCCTTCCTTTTAATTTAATTTTTCAAGTAATGTAAAGCAGGATCGGGATCTTGCTCAATCAAGAGATTTGTTAGGGTTCCTGGAAGTCTTGAAGTGAAAAGAAAAAAACAAAAAAACAAAAACAAATTAACATTACCAATAGCAGCTATATGCATTCCTCATTTGATTATTTTCAGAGAAACAAACAGGCTTTGCTTTTAGGAGAATGGGACTGGATTCACCACTGCCTTAAACTGCTTAAAAACAGTGAGAAAATAGATCTGAATTAAAATGCATTTTATATTTAGCCTGAATACAAGGTATGCAAATGGATATGATATGATAGTAGCTGACATAACGTTCTTTGCAGTGGTGGGATTCAACCGGTTTGTACCACTTTGGCCGAACCGGTTGTTAAATTGCTGGCTGGCTCTTCCCTCCTTATATTGCTCAGGGTTTATATTTTACAAAAGGGATGTAACCAATAATAGTTTTTAAAAAAGGGAATGGCTCTTTTTCAATAGCATGTTGTGATGTGATGTGGAAGTCTTCCTTTTCTTGGGTACAGGGGGTCCTTGACATGTCCATTTATTTATTGACCATTCAAAGTTACAACCGCACTGAAAAAATGATTATGATCGGTCCTCGCATTATGACCATTGCCATGTTCCCACACTTACATGATAAAATTTGGGCACTTGGCACAACCAGAGTGTATATGAGGGTCCCAGGTGCACATGATCACCATATGTGACTTTTTTAGCTGGCTTCCAACTAAGTTGTAAAATTGGGTGTGGCTCACTGAACAATCGCCTCGCTTAACGATAGATGTTGGGCTCCCAATAGTGGTCATAAGTCAAGGACTACCTGTATTGGTTAATAGGATTTCTATGTTACTTTTAAATTTTTTTATTAAAGTTTAACAATTTTAAAAACAAATCATATATACAATTTTTGCAGTAAGTTGTGGCATTGACTTTTCCATATTCATTTACACACACACACACACACACACACCAATTACATTTACATTTTGCATTGTCTTTTATTCCTGTTATCTAACCAAACATACCATTTCCCCCTACCGTATAATATTCTTTTTCTTCCTTCTCCTGCAATTCCATTGTAAGTTTATTTACTTCTGCACAATCCATATTTTTTTTATTAGCATATTATCTGTGGGACTACTCTCTGATTTCCAGTTTTGAGCATATGTTATTCTAGCTGCTGTCAATATGTGCATTATTCACTATTCAATTTCTTTCTTATAATCACCTCTAATTATCCCTAATAGGACCATTTCAGGCTTAAGTTCTATTTTTCCCCGGTTATTTCTTGCAGCCAAATCCTTATTTTGTTCCAAAATTTCTTTGCTTTAGAGCACAACTGCCACATATGAAAGAAGGCACCTGGCGTCTTTTTACATTTCCGACACATCAAGTTCAAATTTGGGTAGACTTTGGCCAATCTCGCTGGTGCTAGATGACAACAGTAGAACGTTTTGTACAGATTTTCTTTGTACGTGGCTGCCATTGTTAATTTATAACTTTTCATCCAAAGTTTTTCCCAATCCTCTAGTTGAATGTTGTATCTGAAGTTTTTCATCCAGGCAATCATTGTTTGAGTCACTGCCTCCTCTTCTTTATCAAATTTTAGGAGATAGTTATATATTTTAGAAATAAATTTTTCCTTTGGTCTTAATAAAATTTTGTCAATTTGTTGTGGATCTATGCCGCTTTTTCTCTGGGACACCAAGCCAGTGTCTAACAAAACAAAATTAAAGCAAAGCACGAAAAAGAATAAAAATGGATATTTAAAAATCTGCCTCAAAGTATTTTAAAAAGAGATTCTTTTGTTCCTTTTTAAAATGAAAAGAGATAAGAGGATGTTGGTGATAAAAGAGAAAATTTGTTTTACATCATCTTAAGCTTGGACTGTGTGAAAGAGCTTCTCTAGGCAAAAGTATATTCTCAGATCAAATAATGTGGATTTTAAAACTGCATCAGGAAACCCCCTAAAATAGGTTTTCAGTCCTGCCAGCTATGGTGAATGATATCTTATTTGCTGCAAAAAGTTTGCTAGAACAGAAAAAGAAAATGATTGACTTCTGTCTTTTTAATATTAATTAATACTATGATTGTACATCGCCTGGAATTATTTGAGTTGTGAAACACGCAGGTACACAACACCTTCACGCAAACACATGTACAGACATACACACCCACACAGCATATACATATATGCTTTGTGATCATATTTATTGTAAAATAAATGCAAAGAAAAATAAACGAAACAAGGAGAAACTGTTTAAATTATGCAGCCTAAAGAAATGGCTCTGAAATCGGGACCCTGCAAGATCATCCGACTGGTTTAAGTTGCCACAATCTCCACAGTCACGAAGCTAAAAATGGGGTGCAATATTACGGATAAATAAACTAAAGCCATTTGGTATTTTGACAATATGGCTGAAACATCCTTCCGTGAGCCCATCTGCTCTTTGTTGTCCGCCCTCAAATCTTGACTTGTAAAATAACATTTTCACCACTTTGGAATTTTTCAGCCTGTTTTGTGCTGGGGAAAAAAAAAATAGATTCCTTTGGCCCACTTTAGGATGAAGCGCCACCGTTAAAAAAAAAGGAGAAGGAGAAACAAAGGAGAAATTTAAGATAAAGCATGTCATCTTTTTTTTCTATTCGTCACGATGAATCTTCTTCGGCTTCAACAAGGGGAAAAATGCGCTATTGTTAAAACTTTTTCATTGTGGTAGCTTTTATCAGGTACCGGGAATATTTTCCTTGTAATTGGGCCAATCTTAATAGTCGCAATTGCATATTTATCAGTGTGAGACGCTGTTAATAATGTAGCTGTCATGCACAAACACATTTCTGCATGAAATCCATTTAGTCCCCGCATTGTTCGGGCCTGGAATGTCACCGGGACATCAAAACCCTCCCTTCAAGCCTCCAGCCCAGAGGCCTGCAGCGGCAGGAGAAAAGGGCTGGGATCAATAAATGTAACATGTTAATGCCAAGCAAATAGAATAAAAGATTTTCTCTGACAAGCGATGAAAAATCACCTTGTGTCAGCTGGCATGGCGGTGCCATTTCTGCGGAGACACTTGAAAACTTGATCTGACAAGGAAAGAGGGAGAGATGATGGTTATAAGATGCTTTTGTTTCCAACTTCTTCTTCTTCTTCTTCTATTTTTTTTGACCTGTCAGGCTTTTGAATTGGTCCCCCCCCCACTTTTTTTTTGTCATGTGAAAATTGTAGTCTGAGGAAGTTTGGAAGCCGTTTCTCTGCTCAAATGGGTGAAGGCTGCTGTTTAATTGATTCACTTAGCATTTGAAACTGTCACGCATTAATAATTGCTAAATCCGGTAGGTGCTCTCTGATGTGTCACACTTAAATGTGTAGTTATCAGAAAATTAATATCCTTAATGAACCAACACTTCAGAGTAGCATTGCGTGAAATTCTCCTTTTGCCCTTTCATTTTCTGAATGTATTCCAGCCAATTTTTGGAGAGAATCCTTTCCCCGGGGCTGGATTTTCTTTCTTTCTGATGCCCAACAATTGCCTCGTTGCTTTGGGTACACAGTGTGTTAAGTGACAAATGCAGTAATTATACTGGAGTTAGTAATTAACATAATTATAGTCAATTATGACAAATACAGTACAGAGAGAAATAAATGGGGAGGGGGGAGAAATTAGCAAGCTAATTGATTTATCTTTTTATGTTGTTGCAACTGGCAATTGTAATCCTGTTCGTTCCCTGGGAAATAAGAGCAATGTTTACACATAGGGCATTTTGTTGTGAACTGGTCCTCGGCTCATGTTTACCTACAGTATTCCTTTCTTTTTTCTTTCTTTCTTTCTTTTTTTTAAAGAATGGCATATACCACAGAGGGAGAAATTGGAAACATTTACATTTTTACATTTTACATTTTATTTGATTTGTCAATCGCTTACAAGTTACAGGTATAAGAATAAATATAGTTTTCAATACATGAGATAAATACTTATAAGAAAATAAAAAAAAACAATAGGACAGGGACGGTAGGCATGATTGGTGCGCTTATACACCCCCCTACAGACCTCTTAGGAAAGGGGTAAGGTCAATAGTAGACAGTCTAAGGTGAAAGTTTTTGGGGTTTGGGGAAGAAACCACAGAGTCAGATAGAGTATTCCAAACATTGACCACTCTGTGCTGAAGTCGTATTTTCTGCAGTCAAGTTTGGTGCGGTTAACCTTGAGTTTGTATTTATTGTGTGCTCTTGTATTGTTATGGTTGAAGCTGAAGTATTCATTGACAGGTAGGACATTGCAATGTATGATTTTATATACTGTACTTAGATTGCACCGAAGATGGGCCTAGTTCTAGGTTTTCTAGGTCTAGAGTTTCAAGTCTGGTGGCATAAGGTATTCTGCAACGAGTAGAGGAGCGGAGAACTCTTCTTGTGAAATACTTCTGGACTTTCTCAATTGTGTTACTATCAGATACATGATATGGGTTCCAGACAGATGAGCTGTATTCAAGTATAGGTCTTGCAAATGGTTTGTATGCTCTAGTTAGTAGTGTGATATTACCAGAGAAGAAGCTACGTAAGATTAGGTTAACAACTCTTAATGCCTTTTTGGCTATGTAGTTACGGTGGGCTCTAGCACTTAGATCATTTGAGATGAGTACTCCAAGGTCCTTGACAAAGTTTGAATCCTCAACAAGGTCTTAACTATTTAGCTTGTATTTTATTTTCTGATGTTTTCTGCCAATATGTAAGACAGAGCATTTTTTTTGTTGAGATTTGGAGTTGCCATTTGATTGACCATTCTGATACATAGTCGAGGTCTTTTTGGAGGGTAGTAGTATTGTTGGTGATGTTGAATAGCTTTACATCAACAGCAAAGAGAATGCAGTTGCTCTTAATATGATCACAGAGGTCATTTATGTAGAGTATGAAGAGAGTTGGTCCTAAAACACTGCCTTGGGGGATACCACTGTTGACAGGTACAGAATTTGATAGGATACTTCCAATTTTGACCATTTGTTGTCTGTTTGACAGGAATGCTTCTATCCAGTTTTGCAGGTGTCCAGAGATACCATAAGATTTTAGTTTTAGGGACTTCCGGTTTGTCGGCTTCGCGAGCGGCAGGGATTTGCGATCCTGCGCGATCCCTGCCACGCTAGCCGCTTTGATGCCTCTGATCCATCGATCTGGAGGCTAGGGCTGCCATGAAGAGGCAGCCCAAGATAGGAGGGATCCGGACAGGGGGTTGGGGTCTTCGCAGACCCCTTCCCCACCTGGCTTAACCCTCTTTCTCAAGGCGGTGGAGCGGCGGTCTGTAATGGCCACCACAAAGAAGCTGACAGCTGGACAAGATCGTGCTGGAGGAAGAAGGAGAAAGTGCTGAAGCGAAAGTTTCTTGGCTGAACTGGACTATAAGATACAAGTAATACAAGTAATATCCTGAAAATTCGGATTTTTTGAAAGATACTTTGTTTCCAGAAGAGATTTACAAGCGGCGAGTGAAAGTGTTTTAAGAGAAAGTTTACTCTCCTTCCACATGGATTTAACAAATGGATATTGAAAATCCTGCTATTTTATAGAAGGTAAAAATTTAAAGCTTTCTGTTATAAGTGGGAAGGGAGAGGACAAAAAGAAAATTTTCATCAAGATTTTGCTGGAGGAGATGCCTGGAAGATTTTGAGATTGGAAGTTAATTGTAATAAGACTTTAAAATATAGATTGGGTTTTTTTTTCCCTTGCCAACTGATATTACCCCAGGAAGAAAAAGTGTGAAGAACTTTGTGTTCTGTTTGGATTGTTTGATGACTTTGGGATTTTGGGGAATTGTTTTAAGTTTTGAATTATCTTGGTTGTTTTAAAAAGAAGAAGAAGAGAAAAAAGAAGAAGAAAAGGTTTATAATGGCTTTATTTGTTGATGAACTGAGAGAGGACTATGGTAGAATAAAAAAAGAAGGTAAAGATGGTGTGAGAGAAATTTTTTGCTTTTTAGAAATGGTGTTTGCTACTTATCAACAAACGCAGCAATTAATGGAGGATACAGAAGAAGAAGAAGAAGAAGAAGCCATCTTTAATGAGTCTACAAAATTTACAAAGCTGATTAAGAAAGGAGGGAAAAAGAAAGGAAGGAAAAAGGACATAAGACTTAAAAAAACATCAAAGAAAGAGAAAAATAAGATGCAAAATCAATATACTGTTAGAAAGCAAAAGAAAAGAGAAATGCAACAGAGGGGGGGAGCGAAGGGGGGTAAAAAGACCAGATAGGATAAGATAGGAAGGAAGAAGGGGGAAAAAAGCCAAAAAGGTATGAAATAAGGTGTGGAGAAGAAATCTTTTTTTATGGATAATGGGTAATGCACAATTTTGTTTTAAAATGTTTCTGCAAGGTACATGATAGTATTGTAGTATTTGTATGAGAATCAGAAAATTAGAATTTTATAAGGCTTAAGTAAAGATTAAAATATTAAAGGTTTAATAATGATAGATTTTAAGATTTAATAAAATATTAAAAGGAATGTCTAAAACATTTAGTTTAAGTATAGAGTTTAATTGACTATTGTGTGGATATTTGTATGAACTTATTATTATGGTATTTGTTTTTGAAATAGATAATTGGAATGCTATGAGATTTAATGTTTAATTATATATTTAATTACTTTATGGATTTACTATTTTAGTAAGTAGAATATACTAAGCAGAATTGGATAGGGAATTAGGTGTTACCTTAAATGTTAATGTAGGGGAGCGATGGAAAGGCATCATACTTCGATTGGTGATTTCAGGAGAAATATTTTTTTTTTTAATATGAATGAGATAAATGGATAATTGAAAAGAATGGACAAAAGATATAAATATAATGATTTAAATTAAGATGAAATAAATAAAATAGAATTAAGAAGAGTGGAAAGCGGGGAGAAGTTATAATAAAGATATAGAAGGGTAATAAGATAGGTAATGGCATATAAACTGAACATGAATTTAATTGAAGTCCATACAAAGAGAGGTAATCCGGGACCAAGCTACTTTTTAAAAAGAAGTTTTATGTTTTTGTGTTTTGTGTGTGTATGTCTGATTGAGATTTAATAAAACCTTGGGAGAAAGCGAGAGGAATATTTGTAAACAAGGCAGAGGGAAATATGAATATGATGAGTATAAAATGGATAAATATAGAAGAAATGCAATTGAATAAGAGTAAAGAGAAATAATGAGAAATTTGTTAAAAAAATATTTAAGTGGAAATGGGATATACTAGAATTGTATTGTATAAAACAATGTTTTATTTGCCTTGTAAAATTTATAATGGAAAGAGGTTCAATGTCTTTAATGTTTAATGATGCTTTGTTTGTCTGTAAAATTAATAAAATTTGTTTAAAAAAAAAAGATTTTAGTTTTAGGAGTAGTTTGTCGTGTACCACTGAATCAAAGGCTTTACAAAAGTCTATGTAGATTGTGTCTATTGCTTTGCTCTGATCGAGTTGTGTAGTCCATATGTTTTTGCAGTGTAAGAGTTGCAGATTACAGGATAGTTTTTTTTTCTGAAACCAAATTGTTTGTTAGAGAGTAGGTTGTTTGTCTCTAAGTGGAGGATAATGGATTGGTTAATAATTGATTCCATGACTTTACAGGTGACACAGCATAAAGAGATTGGTCTGTAATTTTCAACTAGGCTGGGGTCTCCCTTTTTGAAGATGGGGATGACCGTGGCTTGTGACCATAGTTTTGGCAAGGAGCTGGTCCTGAAAGATTTTTCAAAGATTATGCTTAGAGGTTCAGCTATGGCAGTGGATAGCTTTTTTAAGAAATAGGCACATATTCCGTCTGGTCCAATAGATATTGATGGTTTTAGATTGTGTAGTGCTTTTTCAACATTGTCTTCTGTAAAATCGATATGTATTAGATCATTGTAGTTGTCTGTGGTTTGACTAGGAAATACTGGGCTTGATCCATTGCTGTTTACAAATACTGAGCCAAAGAATGTGTTAAAGAGGTTGGCTTTAATAGTGTTGTCATTGCAGTCTTTACCATTAGGTCCTTTCAGGGGTGGGATGGACCTTGAGTCTTTTAGTTTGTTGTTTACAAAATTGTAAAAAGCATGGGTGGAATTTGTGCGTAGAAGGTTTTCCTCTTGTTTAATGTGATAATTAGTGCATTCAGTTTTTATCTGGTGGCATAGATTTTTGTATTGGCTTTTGAACTTGGCAACGTGACCAGATTTGTTTTTTTGCCAAAGTGATCTCTTTTTGGATTGAAGCTTCCTTATTGTTATGGGTAATCTGTTTTTCCTGGTTCCTTATTGTTATGGGTAATCTGTTTTTCCTGGTTTGGGGAATTGTTATTGGTGCATATAGTTTGATGGCTCTTTTGATTTCTAGTAAGACTATGTTGTAATGGTCTTCAACAGTATTGCATCCAGTGAATAGAAATTGCCAATCAAGGGAAGAGAGATCGTTGATTATAAGATCATAGCTGCCTTTTTTTTTGAAGTTATAATTGGGGATTTTGTCATCGTGATGATTTTTGTGTGGACGTATGTTGAGACAAAAGTCAATCATGTTGTGGTCACAGTTGGAAAAGAGTTCTTTAATTTGTATTCTGTAAATTGAATTCAAACTATTGCAGAAGATGAGATCGAGGCAGTTGTTAAGCCCAATATTGTTGGTTACTAGTTGTAACAATCCCATCAGTCTATTTTAAAGGGCATTCTTCCTCCCCACCGCCCAAAATAAAAGCAACTCATCAGGTGTCGTTCATGGAATTTTGTTTGAGAAAAGCAGGATTTTACTTCTCCCTGTGGATTTTGTGTTTGCCGGGGGGGGGGGGGGCAGTGATTGTGATTGTTGTGGCTCGCCAGCGGCCAGTGAGGAGATTTGGGGCAGGGAACATGGGCCAGTCCTGGAGTCTGGGGAAGGCTCTGACAAGGCAGAGATGGGGCCAGGGCGTCTGACAGTTATCAGCTGCCTTTGGAGTCGGAGATCAGTGGGGCAGAAGAACATCTGGAGCCTCTTCCCAGTGTGCACATGCACAAAGCTGCCAGGAGAAGGGAACAGTTAAGGAACAAGGGTCGACTCAGAAGTAAAGGCACAGGTGGATGGTGAACAGCCCTTCCCATAAGGAACAAAGAGGAGTGAAAGGGGAGTGGGGTTTGCAGGAGACAATTAGTTCGTTTAATTAGTGTGAAGATTTGTTTATCTGGGTTTGTGACTCTCAGAGACTCCTTGTCAAGTATTTCCTTGTACAGCATTGTGCTTGGAAGCGATTGGCCTGGCAGCTCTCCAAGCCTGATAAGGTCTGTGGTTGCAATTCACCCTTGAAAGACTGTTTGCCGGGACTTTGCTGGATGTGAATGATAGGAATTCTCATTAGCCTAATAAAAGGGGGTTTGGTCAGGACATGGAATCTGTTTCGTGATTTTGTGAAGCCTAGGTCAGAACAGTGATATATATTCATAGTGTGTGTGTGTGTGTGTGAGAGAGAGAGAGAGAGAGAGAGAGAGAGAGAGAGAGAAACTGTCATCCTTTGAATTCAGTGCTTGGAATTTTTCCCCCTCTGCTGAGGGAACGCTAGGTAAATAAATAATAAACTGACAAATTCACTTCAGTTTTTCTGACAGGACGGATCTGAGATTCCCCCCCCCCTTTTTTGTGTGCCTCTGTTGCTTGAATTAAAGCTTCTAGGCAAATATTCTAATGGTTGAACATTCCCTGAGATTTCTTTCCCTTTGGCTATATTGTTTCTAGTCGAAGAGTGCCTGAGTTTTTTGAAATGATGTTTTCAAGATTCTAACCTGAAGGATCTCAAATTGCCTGCTTCTCTCAAATATTCTAGAAAGGGAGCGAGCGTCGGAGAAGGAGGCCAGGTTCCTGGACTCGCACATGTATGATTCAGCCTGGGGACAAGAGCTTTTCAGCTTGCTCTTCTTGACAATGGCTACTTGCTGCCCCCCCCAGCTTTCCTTTTAGGCAAGTCAGCTGCCAAGCTAGTCAGGACTTGCCACTATATAAATATCTGCATATTTGGGTTGTTTTGGCCTAAGGAGAGAATGGGAATCGTAAAAGTGCTGTGTTCTGGCCTGGCTCCCTAAACACGACCAACCCTCTGACGTGAACTCAAAAGATTCCTTTATTAAGAATGCCAGCAGCCTTAGCAAAAAGTTTCTCACTCACCGCAGACGAGCAAGTCTGTCCGGACGGAAGATGAATAGTTTGTTTGCCACATCTATTCATCTCCGCCCACTGCCTTTTATCCCCAGAGCTAGAGTGGGGCTTCGCTAGTAGCGGTGGATCTTCCATCCCAAGGACCGGTCCATAGATTTCCTCTGCTCTCCTCTCCTCTACCTTCTGTGCATCCGCATGTCAGGCACTGGACCCAGATCCTCCTCTTCCTCATCAGCCACCTGCAGACCTGGGGAGCTGTTGACTTTTCATCTGAGGACTGACGGACAGCCCAGGCTCCGCCTCTGTCTCTATCTCTGACAGCTCCATTCCTTCTTCCTCCTTGGAGCTCCCAGGTTGCCCTGATGCTGATTCTAACTCCCACTCCGCCTCCTCCTCCTCCTTTGATTCGGCTGCTGGAGGGGCTGGCAGCTGAAAGGCCACAACATGCTGTCTCAAATGGGAGGAAATCATAACTGGTTCCTGGTTGAAGTATGTACAGCCAAGTATCCCCTGCAATTCCCA